ATATTTATATTCAAATATGTAAAAAATTTACGTTTGAATATTCTATATTTATTGTATTTTATTTTGAGCAGTTTGTAACTGATATACCAAAATCAGTCATCTGAAGATTAGGCTGAAAATATTAGTGTATAATTAAATAAATGTCCCAGCAACCAAAGGTGTTCAGTGATGATTTTAGTAATTCTTTGTGTTGGGTGTGGATTTGGTTAGCAGAATAATCATTCAATTTTATTTAGTCACCAAGACAATGAGATGTGACAACAATATTAGAAGTACTAACAGTAATATTTTTCATAATTTAAGATATTTGCTCATTTGATAAAGGTAATAATTAATATGATAAATGGACAAAATTATGAAAACAGACTTCTTTTTTAAAGATTAACCACTCAGCAGTGACCAATGGATGTATCTGTCAATGGCGATTGTGTGACAGTGGTGAGGGATGGATATATCTGCAAAATTCTTTTGTGGATATTGCCAAAAACTATCCAAAAACTACTGCAAAAAAAAAATTCACATAAAAAAGGAATTATGTAAAAATAAAAAAAGACCTTTCTTTACTAGTCGTAACTATTTACAAAATCTTTTTCCGAAACAGTAATGAGAAAAAAACATATGGAAAAACTTAAAAAATTTCCCACATTTATTCTCCATTGATATTTATTCTCCATCAATGTTAACCTTTCAGCAGTAGGATAGCACCTACTGCTGAAAGGTTAACATTGATAGTTATAAATTTACATTAAATAATTCTAAGTCATCAAAAATTATCTTAATATTTCTTATTTGAATATAGTTAAATATTTATTTTTATAAATAAACTAGCAGAAGAGCCCGGCATTACTTGGGCAAAAAAAAAAATAACCATAAACATTAAGGATATTAGATTATAAAAATTATTTAAAAAATATGAGGAAAACTCCTCAGCTTGTTCTGACATTAGAGGTGTGAATAATCTCTACTGTCAGAACAGGCTGAGGATTTCTTGGTATTTTTTTAATTAATTTTTTAAATTGGAATTTTTTGCCCCATTGAATAGTTTTTAAATTTTATTAATTTTAAATAAAATATAATTTAAAGAATATTTTTTCAGATATTTCTGAAGTATACCTAATTCATATAGAAGCTATTATGGTCCATTATATACCTTTTTATTATATAAAACAATGTTTTTTCCCTCTAAAAATATAATATGAAATATATCAAATTCACATTATATTTTTGATTTATGTCACAAAAGCAAAAATGTAACTTTTTATATGGTTTGATTTATAGTGGTTGAAGTCCCACACTCTGCCAAGTTAGATTTTTAGAAATAAAATTTAACTTGAAATTGAAAAGATTATTTTAATTTTATACTAAGCAAGTTTTATCAGCTATTACTAATTTTTAAATTTTATTTTTGATTTTTAATATGCAAAATCATTAATAATAATTGACATTTTCTTTTTCAATGCATAGAATGGCATAATCTGAAAGTTCTTGTTGCATTGTGGAATGCAAAGGAATTTCATAGTATCTTTCAGGATTATTTGATACAGCTCTTCAAGGTCAAATGTGTTTGTGTGAGAATAATTTTTCTTACATATGCATAAATATGCATTAGTTCTTCAATTAAATTAATGCTAACATCTTCAGGATAAGTTAGCATCAGCATACTTTGATCTTTCTGACCTGTAAATCTAACAAGAATAATAGTTTTATGATGCCTTTGTAAATCTATCCTCTTTGACTTATAAAACCTCTAAAAAGTCCAAGATTGGAAGAAAACTTTCTGTACAAAATTTTTCTCTTGGCAATAGCAAATTATTAGCTTCTGTTGTAATTCCACCATTAATGTTCTTAGGCCTTCACTTACCTCTTTTGCACATTTGTAAACATCTATCAGCCTATCTTTTGCTTTTATTTCTAAATCATCAAAGATGTTTCTCAGTTTTACAGTGTAATTGCCAAATGATATACACAAGCTTACACAAGTGTCAAGTGTTGTGCTTTTTTAGACCATCTTAATCAGTTTGTAAAATTGATTTAAATACAATTCCAGAATTCCAACATGATTACAAATTAATTCATTCATTTTGTAACATTCTGAAACATCAGTATATATTATTTCTACTGCATCAGTCAGTGAATCTTAATTTGTTTCTATATCTGTAACTGTTTCATGTGCTTTACATTTAATATCTGATAAACATTTTATCAATGATGAATTCACGACATCATCACAGTTCATTCTTTGAAGCAGGGTGAACAGTGTACATTTTTGTGGGTAGCAAAGAAATTAATATCATCTAAGCCAGGGCTTCTTAAACTTTTTTTATTCACAACCCCATTTATGATTGTGATTTTTTTCGTGACCCAAAAAATATAAAATAAAGATATATACAAATTTGCAAAAACATTAATGGTGTACTACCACAGTTCACTCTTGTGTTACAATGGAACAGAGACAACTGAATACACTGAAAAGCAACAACACTACTCTAGTTCACACTATAGTGTTGCTGAATCATTGTCTCGCTGCACCAGAAGTGACACAAAGCACAACTCACAAAACCTATGACACAATGTGTGCCATTTTCAAACTCTCACAAATTATTTTCAATNGTTGAAAAAACCAAAACACTCGAAATTCAATGTCAGAACGCACGAAAAAATCAAACTCGTTTGAACGCTCGAATGGTTCTGACTACATCGTGCGTGTTCTGACATGCCCTTCGCTGCCGAAGTAAACACACTCATTGGAAAACAGGTATTTGTTTGTTCTCACGAACTCTTCAGAACTCTTCAGAATTCGCATCCACAGTAACCGTAGCCTTAGGCCGAGCGGTCAAAGTGGCAGCCTACTGCTCTGGGGGACCCAGGATCGAATCCGGACGGGTCAAATAATCCCAGGAATTTTTCGGGGATGGTCCGATCGGATATGTCGGGCCCCGTCCCTCACTACCCGGCTGCCCCATTGTGGGCCTGGCCGAATCCATAATGGGCTTGCTAAAAAGAGGCCCTCTTAGTGTCCACAGGACAGAAAGAATTTTAAAAAAATATCAAATGATACAAAAGTTTGAAATAAATATTATTAAAAAATAGTTTTTATTTCTAAAAAATAACAGAAAATTTAGAAACAATTATTATTGTTATTTATTTTATTTTTGTATTTCTATAACAAAATCCTTGCAAAAGTTACCTTGGGCGCCTCTAGCGGCTAGTTATAAAGCACTAAGGAATGCGTGAAAGGCATGCTTGATATAAATTATGAAACATTTAAGACAAATAACTCAGTATTATTATAACTTAAATTATAAACCACGATTATTTATAATACCAAATAATGGTAAGAGATGTTGAAAATGAATTTCAATTTATAGTGTTTTTAATATTTATTTATAAAGTTATATTTTTTTAATTAACATACATTTGTAAGATGATATTTGTGCTCTGCAATTCTAACTTTGAGTGAGCATAAAGTTGAGCCTATATATTCCACATTGCAAAATCTACCGTCTCTCAAGGCGATCTTGTAAACCCCTGGAATTCTGAGCAAGTTACTATCCTTCCCGTTTTTAAGGATGTTAAAGATACAGTTGCATCTGAATGTTAATTGTATATTCCCATGTTTTGCTATTTCTTTATATATGGTGATGGTAATCTAGAATGATATGGCGTGTGTTCATGTGATATGTGTACTTACGGGTATTACGTATTATTAGCATTCATGGGGTGTATGTAGTTAGAAAGGGCCTAGGTTATATTCCAAATCAGGTTCTTTTGATATCCGTGAGTAATAGCTACCTGCTCCAGGTGTTTGAGTTGTTTGATTGTATCTGTGTAGTCCGTACAATGTATAAAGGCCCTTTTAGTGAGGGCTCTGAATGCCACTATTTTATATATCTATGGTTCATTGGAGTTTGCTGGTATAAATAATGGTATGTATATTGGTTTGTAATAAACATTGGTGTGTACACGGTTATTTTCGATGTTTATCGTTAGATCTAGAAAATGTACACTTGTATTGTTGGCTTGATCTAACTCTACATTGAGACCATATGGTTGCCCCGCGTTTTTTTATGCAGCGAGAGTGTAGCGAAATGACGTCACAAGCAGTATTGGCCAATTAGAAACCAGTTTCAGTGTGTTCGCTGTAAAGCGCTTCTCGAGCGCTGCATAAAAAAACGTGAGGTTGTTGTTAATTTATGTAATGAAGTTATTAATATCAGGTTTTTCTTTTCACATAATGATAATATCATTGACATACTGTCTGTGCANTCTTAGTATCCAAAGGGCGAGAAGAGTTAAAATAAAGAACTCTTATCCATATAATTTTTTCTATACTTGGTGTTTTTTCAATGATCTGAATTTCTTGAATATTTATATCATTAGGAAGATGCAAAGAGGGCCAAATATTGTTCGTAATGAAATTTGGACGAATTCATGGAAGTAATTTGTTTCTGAAAAAAGCTTAATATTTTAATATTGGCCAAATTATTCAACATAATCGTTCAATCATATGTTTTATCATTTACAGATCGTTCATTAATCTGTCCGCTATTACAGCGTCTACAGCAAGAGTGAATAGATAGTTTCTATAAGCGAAATTTACTTTTTTTACGGAAGTGCCAAGTTAGTTTGTTGAATATTCAACAGGTCGTTGAGACCCTTGAGCTCAACGGTGAACCAACGCTGACATCACGGGTTTCAATGGACAACTCAACGGTCCATTTAGAAACGTCATTTTCTCACTGTCTTTCTTTCTTTCTTTTTCTTCTCTAATATGGAAATTACAATCAGTGCTTATATATTCAGTTCAGAGAAATAAAAATTAAGAATAGATTAACTGTGCCAATATTATACTAAATTATTAATTTTAAGCTTGACATTGTTGATTTTAAAGATGAAAATATTTTAATATTTCATATTGCATTATTTGTAGAGGGCGTTTCTATCGTTTCGTTTCTACCACGTGGTGTGTATATTTGTGTATATTATTAGGAAATTTAGTTCCTTTTATATAATCAATTTAATAAATCTAAAATTATATATTAGAAAAATAGATAATCTTGCAAAAAATATGCACATGATATATTTTATTTCTGTAAAAACACTGTCAGTGTGCAGAAATTAATTCAATGATTATAACATGATTTGTCACGTTAGTTTTAATGCTAAAACGTAATTTTTTCATTATTAATTTTGTTCTTAGTCTTTTCTTTTAATTGGGAAACTATTATATATTTAACGAAATTAATCATTTTTCTTTTGATATAGATTTGTGTGAACACGATGTGTAGAAGTGACTTTCAGGTAATTTGTATATATGCACATTACTCGTAATCCAGGGTTTGCAAACTGTCTGTTCGTTAAAGCTTCATATCCAGCATGCAGCCTTGATTTCTAAAAATCAATGTTTCTAGCATCTTGCGGGGATTAAAACAAAAACGTTCAAACATATAACTGTTTACATAAGTCATATAGGCCTGGCAACAAAAGAGCCTTTGTTATAGCCTTTTTTTAATTACAGTATGGTTTGGTTTCCCAAATAATAATGGCTTGCATCTAATATATATCTATTTGACTGATTCTTTAAGTTTGAGATCCCTGCCCTAAACAAATTACCTAAAACTAACTTTTACAGACAGAATATACTTTGTAATAACAGAACACTGTAAATATTTTTGAAGTTTTTCAGTTATATTAAAAGCAGAATAAATCATTACTAAATGTCTTTGGCTGCTGAGACATTTATTTACTTATAATGTATTAATGCAAGATATGTGGACAGTTTACCATCAGCATGGAAGTTCATTGTAAAAAAGAAGCTTTTTTATAGAAACTCCTAGTTACCATATTTACTAAGATATATTTTTGTGTATTGTTTATCTATCTTCCTTTTCTCTGTAGCCTTAGATGTAAGTCCTATAATTTCAGTACTTTAACATCTTTGCAATTTTCAGTTTCAGCACTTTAACATCTGAAGGTTTCCAATGACAATGACTTTATTCGTTTAATCTATTATCATCATGATTGTCATCATTAGAAACCTGTGGATATTAGAAGTGCCATATTGAAATTCTTAGATATATGTGTAAGGCTTACAGAGAAAAGAAAAAGAATTTCAGCATTCCTTATCCACATAATCCTAATTTTATATTTATTTTATTTTACTTTATTTTTCTGTTAGAATTTTAAATTTTCATGTTAATTTTAATTTTCTTTATGTTGGAATTATTGGAATTATTTTTTACATATTTATATTCAAATATGTAAAAAATTTACGTTTGAATATTCTATATTTATTGTATTTTATTTTGAGCAGTTTGTAACTGATATACCAAAATCAGTCATCTGAAGATTAGGCTGAAAATATTAGTGTATAATTAAATAAATGTCCCAGCAACCAAAGGTGTTCAGTGATGATTTTAGTAATTCTTTGTGTTGGGTGTGGATTTGGTTAGCAGAATAATCATTCAATTTTATTTAGTCACCAAGACAATGAGATGTGACAACAATATTAGAAGTACTAACAGTAATATTTTTCATAATTTAAGATATTTGCTCATTTGATAAAGGTAATAATTAATATGATAAATGGACAAAATTATGAAAACAGACTTCTTTTTTAAAGATTAACCACTCAGCAGTGACCAATGGATGTATCTGTCAATGGCGATTGTGTGACAGTGGTGAGGGATGGATATATCTGCAAAATTCTTTTGTGGATATTGCCAAAAACTATCCAAAAACTACTGCAAAAAAAAAATTCACATAAAAAAGGAATTATGTAAAAATAAAAAAAGACCTTTCTTTACTAGTCGTAACTATTTACAAAATCTTTTTCCGAAACAGTAATGAGAAAAAAACATATGGAAAAACTTAAAAAATTTCCCACATTTATTCTCCATTGATATTTATTCTCCATCAATGTTAACCTTTCAGCAGTAGGATAGCACCTACTGCTGAAAGGTTAACATTGATAGTTATAAATTTACATTAAATAATTCTAAGTCATCAAAAATTATCTTAATATTTCTTATTTGAATATAGTTAAATATTTATTTTTATAAATAAACTAGCAGAAGAGCCCGGCATTACTTGGGCAAAAAAAAAAATAACCATAAACATTAAGGATATTAGATTATAAAAATTATTTAAAAAATATGAGGAAAACTCCTCAGCTTGTTCTGACATTAGAGGTGTGAATAATCTCTACTGTCAGAACAGGCTGAGGATTTCTTGGTATTTTTTTAATTAATTTTTTAAATTGGAATTTTTTGCCCCATTGAATAGTTTTTAAATTTTATTAATTTTAAATAAAATATAATTTAAAGAATATTTTTTCAGATATTTCTGAAGTATACCTAATTCATATAGAAGCTATTATGGTCCATTATATACCTTTTTATTATATAAAATAATGTTTTTTCCCTCTAAAAATATAATATGAAATATATCAAATTCACATTATATTTTTGATTTATGTCACAAAAGCAAAAATGTAACTTTTTATATGGTTTGATTTATAGTGGTTGAAGTCCCACACTCTGCCAAGTTAGATTTTTAGAAATAAAATTTAACTTGAAATTGAAAAGATTATTTTAATTTTATACTAAGCAAGTTTTATCAGCTATTACTAATTTTTAAATTTTATTTTTGATTTTTAATATGCAAAATCATTAATAATAATTGACATTTTCTTTTTCAATGCATAGAATGGCATAATCTGAAAGTTCTTGTTGCATTGTGGAATGCAAAGGAATTTCATAGTATCTTTCAGGATTATTTGATACAGCTCTTCAAGGTCAAATGTGTTTGTGTGAGAATAATTTTTCTTACATATGCATAAATATGCATTAGTTCTTCAATTAAATTAATGCTAACATCTTCAGGATAAGTTAGCATCAGCATACTTTGATCTTTCTGACCTGTAAATCTAACAAGAATAATAGTTTTATGATGCCTTTGTAAATCTATCCTCTTTGACTTATAAAACCTCTAAAAAGTCCAAGATTGGAAGAAAACTTTCTGTACAAAATTTTTCTCTTGGCAATAGCAAATTATTAGCTTCTGTTGTAATTCCACCATTAATGTTCTTAGGCCTTCACTTACCTCTTTTGCACATTTGTAAACATCTATCAGCCTATCTTTTGCTTTTATTTCTAAATCATCAAAGATGTTTCTCAGTTTTACAGTGTAATTGCCAAATGATATACACAAGCTTACACAAGTGTCAAGTGTTGTGCTTTTTTAGACCATCTTAATCAGTTTGTAAAATTGATTTAAATACAATTCCAGAATTCCAACATGATTACAAATTAATTCATTCATTTTGTAACATTCTGAAACATCAGTATATATTATTTCTACTGCATCAGTCAGTGAATCTTAATTTGTTTCTATATCTGTAACTGTTTCATGTGCTTTACATTTAATATCTGATAAACATTTTATCAATGATGAATTCACGACATCATCACAGTTCATTCTTTGAAGCAGGGTGAACAGTGTACATTTTTGTGGGTAGCAAAGAAATTAATATCATCTAAGCCAGGGCTTCTTAAACTTTTTTTATTCACAACCCCATTTATGATTGTGATTTTTTTCGTGACCCAAAAAATATAAAATAAAGATATATACAAATTTGCAAAAACATTAATGGTGTACTACCACAGTTCACTCTTGTGTTACAATGGAACAGAGACAACTGAATACACTGAAAAGCAACAACACTACTCTAGTTCACACTATAGTGTTGCTGAATCATTGTCTCGCTGCACCAGAAGTGACACAAAGCACAACTCACAAAACCTATGACACAATGTGTGCCATTTTCAAACTCTCACAAATTATTTTCAATATTTTGCATTGAAATCTCGCAACCCCAAGATTTTGCTAAGTGACCCCAAATGGGGTCGCGACCCATAGTTTAAGAAGCCTTGATCTAAGCAGTCAGGCCAACTATATAATACTAGATTTACTGAGTGTTCAGTATATTAAATGAGATTACATACAGTAGATCCCGCTATAAGACGGTAGATACGTTCCGTTCTTTATGAATCAATTTTGTAGGAATCACAGTTTACGTACTACGGCAGTTTGAAAGGTTTTCTTCCATAAAATTAATCGATTCTAGACTAATTTGACTCAACATTTCCAAAATACGTATATTTTTTTGGAAATAATCCGTATAAACTACGTTATAAACAAAAAATTGTAGGCTTACTTACCGAGTGTGCACCATTCGACTACGCCCGTTGCTAAAGCTTGTTTTTGTCGCGGAACAGTGCATCAAACGGCGGCTGCGATTTCTGATATTATTTTTCTGCAAAAACTTTGTTGACCTTTGGAGACATCATTAATATAAATAATTTTTATGGCTGTTGAATAAGAAATGTTTCTTTCACAAGAAACGTATAAAATTATAGTGCTATATTAGACTTACGGTACCTAATTTACATACTGTACAGACGATAGCTAGCCTAAACTCTCCGTAGCGCCACTAGACGGCGAAAAATATATATATAATTATAATAAAGTTACAATAAATTAAGTTAATATATAATTATATATATAGTACCTAATTTATATATAATTATATATACAGACGAAACTAAACTCAATTTACCCACCTAAACGTCTGTAGCGTGGCGCTACGGATGGCTGGAAAGTAGTTCGGCTGCCTGATGACGTTTTACGTAATTATAGGAGTTTTTTTACCGTTGTGTACAGATACCGCCACAATTTTTTCGCCGTCTTATAGGAATCGTAACTATAGGAAACAGTTTTATAGGGTGATCTACTGTATTTAGTTTAATTTTGATAAGTCTTGTAAACTGGTGTTTTGAATAAATGCTAACAGTTCTAGCCTATTCCACCAGAAATAATTTTTATTAAACATTTTTGGGGCATTTGGCAACATCCTCAGGATCAACCCATTAATGAAATAAAAAAATAATACAAAAAAACTACCTCAAGTAAATAAAAGTAAAAAGAATATATCAAATAAAAATGAAGCAAAAATACACTATAAAAGAGCATAACACAGTAATAAACTAAAATAAGACATAATGTCAGTAGTCCTTTTACTGGTTTAAAATGTACTTTCATCTGTGGACAGGCAATCCTGTGTTTATGGTTAATGCATAAATTTTTCATAGTTGTATATTGTTATCTTTTCCAATGGTTTTTCTGGTGGCTTGACTCCTGACCATCGTGGGAGTTCTGTGTTATCAAATACATACTTTTGATTCATCTGTAAACATAACTCATTGTCAATTATTAATAGTCCTATCTTTATGATTTTTGGTCATTTCATACAATCTTTCTTTTGATTTTTTTCTTACAGGACTTTGTTTTAGCTTTAGTTTTAGTGGTAAGTTTTTTTGCTAGCCTCTTCCTTAATGTTGTGTCTAATACATTAATATCTTTAATTAATCATTGATCTCATTAACACCTTTTGAAAATGTTTGGAATGTTCTGAAGAAAGTAGTTTCTGAAAAATAGATACAACCATAGAAGAATTAAAGACAACACTAAAACAATTATGATCAGAGGTTGATCTAGAACTATGTAAAAAACTGATTTCTACAATACTTTAAAGTAATTACAATTGTAATTACGTGTAGAGCAAAAGGTGACCTTACAAAATATTAACATCAATATTTCATACTTTTGTTTAATGTTTTTCATGATTCCATACTTTTGTTAAACTTTTACTTTGTTTAAAATTCTGTAACTTTGTAATTAATGCAAATATCTTTATGCTGTTTAGTGTGTAAATACTTTTAACAATTGGCAAATATAATAGATATATTAAAGTTCAATAATATATTTTTGTGAATTTGATTATCTCAGGATCAAAAGCATTTTTCCACAACAATTTCAAAATATTCCATATTTTTGTTCAGGGAGTGCATATTCTTTGTTTCTGAAGGAAAATGTATTTTTTAAAATAAATTCTTTTAAGTATAGATTTAATGTTTGTGTCATGAAAATTGTTAATGTTCAAATGGTGTCATGGAGAAAAGTTTGGTAACCACTGCTGTGTCATTAAATGAGGAAAAAGTTATGGCAATAAAAGATGGCAATACATAAATAATTTTGCCTAAAAGTAGATGTATTTATTGTATAAATTATGTTAATATAAAAATAATTTTATATTATTCATTTGGCTAATAATTTTCAGTTTAATTAGTTTATGTATTAAGAATTAAAATTTTTTCAGATATATAATGGATCATAAACAGAAAATGAATAAACAAAAGAAGAAAGTTGTTCTTGTTTTCAATGAAGAAGAAAGACGGGATTATTTAACAGGATTTCATAGAAGAAAAGAAGAAAGGAGGAGAAAAGCAAAAAAAGAACTTGAGGAAAGACAAAAGGAAGAAAAAAAAAAGTTAAAAGAAGAAAGAAAAAATCTACTAAAGGAAATTTATTTGTCTCAGAGAACTGTTCCAGAAGTAGAACATTTAGTTGAACCAGTTACATACGAATTAAATGATCATACAGTTACCGTTACCTCTATTGAAGAAATTGATTTTGTTGGTCAAGATGGCACAAGATTAGGTCAGAATACTTTTACTCATAACAGTGATATGGAATCATGTGAAGAAGATAAAGTAAAGAAAATAAAAAATATAAAAGATTTGACAAAAAAGTTAAAAAAGAAGGAACAGCAAAAGCAGAAATCAAAGAAGCATTTTAAGAAACCTCAAAGAAAACATAATTTCAAAAAGAAAGGAAAAGTGAAATCAAGTAAACTTCAAAAAACAAAAAATTTATAATAGTTTTATAAATTGAAACAAGAGATTTTATATTAAATTTTGTTAAATAAGTACGAGTATTATAAAGAGACATTTATTGTAATAAAGTGCATATTTCAAATAAAAAAAAGTTTATTAATTAATGTTTATGGACATTGAAATGTTGGAGTTGGTGATTTATGCAAATGTTGATTATTGAAATGATTAAATGCCAGAAAATATTTTGATTTTTGGGAAAGATTTAATTGTTGTAAAGTAAACAGTGAAGTTATTCATACTGTATTAGATAATTTTAAATTTATACAATAGCAGCAATCTTCCACAAATAAAAATAACTATAACAATATTATGACTTTATATTATAAAGAATATTATGCATAAATTAGATATTTTTTAATATTCAACTGAGTACAGAATTGTGGAAGAGAACTTCACAGTAGAAATAAAAATTTAAGCATAAGTATTAATATAATTATTGACCTTATTAAAATATTAACTGAGCAAAATTTTCTTTAAAAATTTAAGAATATAAAAGAGTAAATGTAAATAAGAAATTATATTGTGTGTATTTTTCAAAATTTGCTGATACCATATTAAAATTAAAAATTCAAAATTTTTTCCCAGTTTAAACTCAGTCCAACATGAATGATTTTGTTTTGAGGGATTGTATTGGATTTTCTGTTTACGTTTAGTTATAACAGATTCTAACGTTTAGAAACGTTTAATCAAAACCTATAAAAACAAGGCAAACTTATTATGCAGTTAGTGGCCGGGATTTATAAAAGTAAATATATATTTAATTAAAATTAAAAAATCAATGAGCTTCCAGAATACACAATATGAGTGGAAACAGCGGGACTAAATGATTCATATGTGCATTAGGCTACAGTTACTGTGGATGCGAATTCTGACAAAATCTTGTTCTGACGATTATGTCCGAAATCCTCGTCAGAACAAGGTGGGTACACTGCGCATTTTCTGATAGTACGTTTCTGCCTCCCAGTAAAATGGACGAACTTGATGAATTTTATTTTCTTAGAAGTCCGTTGATTAAGTTATTGTTGATAGGTGGTGGGAAAACAGTGCATGTTAACCACTTATTTTCTACAAGAGACGATAAGGAGAATTCCAAATGTTATATCAAGATTTGTGGAACAACCCTAAAAAGTTTTTCGAGTATTTCAGAATGAGAGATTTCTCTGTTGTGATAGTTTTTGTCTTTCATGTCCCACAAATACCTATTCTCGAACACAAGACTAATCAATATCCACGTTGAAAAAAACAAAACACTCGAAATTCAATGTCAGAACGCACGAAAAAATCAAACTCGTTTGAACGCTCGAATGGTTCTGACTACATCGTGCGTGTTCTGACATGCCCTTCGCTGCCGAAGTAAACACACTCATTGGAAAACAGGTATTTGTTTGTTCTCACGAACTCTTCAGAACTCTTCAGAATTCGCATCCACAGTAACCGTAGCCTTAGGCCGAGCGGTCAAAGTGGCAGCCTACTGCTCTGGGGGACCCAGGATCGAATCCGGACGGGTCAAATAATCCCAGGAATTTTTCGGGGATGGTCCGATCGGATATGTCGGGCCCAGTCCCTCACTACCCGGCTGCCCCATTGTGGGCCTGGCCTAATCCATAATGGACTTGCAAAAAGAGGCCCTCTTAGTGTCCACAGGACAGAAAGAATTTTAAAAAAATATCAAATGATACAAAAGTTTGAAATAAATATTATTAAAAAATAGTTTTTATTTCTAAAAAATAACAGAAAATTTAGAAACAATTATTATTGTTATTTATTTTATTTTTGTATTTCTATAACAAAATCCTTGCAAAAGTTACCTTGGGCGCCTCTAGCGGCTAGTTATAAAGCACTAAGGAATGCGTGAAAGGCATGCTTGATATAAATTATGAAACATTTAAGACAAATAACTCAGTATTATTATAACTTAAATTATAAACCACGATTATTTATAATACCAAATAATGGTAAGAGATGTTGAAAATGAATTTCAATTTATAGTGTTTTTAATATTTATTTATAAAGTTATATTTTTTTAATTAACATACATTTGTAAGATGATATTTGTGCTCTGCAATTCTAACTTTGAGTGAGCATAAAGTTGAGCCTATATATTCCACATTGCAAAATCTACCGTCTCTCAAGGCGATCTTGTAAACCCCTGGAATTCTGAGCAAGTTACTATCCTTCCCGTTTTTAAGGATGTTAAAGATACAGTTGCATCTGAATGTTAATTGTATATTCCCATGTTTTGCTATTTCTTTATATATTGTGATGGTAATCTAGAATGATATGGCGTGTGTTCATGTGATATGTGTACTTACGGGTATTACGTATTATTAGCATTCATGGGGTGTATGTAGTTAGAAAGGGCCTAGGTTATATTCCAAATCAGGTTCTTTTGATATCCGTGAGTAATAGCTACCTGCTCCAGGTGTTTGAGTTGTTTGATTGTATCTGTGTAGTCCGTACAATGTATAAAGGCCCTTTTAGTGAGGGCTCTGAATGCCACTATTTTATATATCTATGGTTCATTGGAGTTTGCTGGTATAAATAATGGTATGTATATTGGTTTGTAATAAACATTGGTGTGTACACGGTTATTTTCGATGTTTATCGTTAGATCTAGAAAATGTACACTTGTATTGTTGGCTTGATCTAACTCTACATTGAGACCATATGGTTGCCCCGCGTTTTTTTATGCAGCGAGAGTGTAGCGAAATGACGTCACAAGCAGTATTGGCCAATTAGAAACCAGTTTCAGTGTGTTCGCTGTAAAGCGCTTCTCGAGCGCTGCATAAAAAAACATGAGGTTGTTGTTAATTTATGTAATGAAGTTATTAATATCAGGTTTTTCTTTTCACATAATGATAATATCATTGACATACTGTCTGTGCATGTCTATATTTGGTAGGAAAACTGGTAAAATCGTCTTTTCTAATAATCTAATTACCATCTCACTAAGATCCTCTGATAACAGGCTGCCCATAGATACTTCTTTGCATTGAATGTATGTATTGTAATAGTATTGGAAGAATGACAAATAACACAAAGGGCTAGCTCAAGGATATGTTTATGCAGTTCAGATTCTTGATGCCTCTGTAAGAAAAAATCTCTGCATGCAGAAACTTGGTTGGAGGTTAATAGATAGGCACAGGGCTGTAAAGGTCTTAACACTGTGCTTTATGCATTAATGTTAAGTTTTGTTTTTCAATTCCTCTATTATACATTCAATGCAGCAACATCCTACCACTTTGGATGATCTTGAAGTCCAGTTACCACAACTGTGGATAGATATGCCACAGGATACCATACAGCATATGTATGCTTGTATTGCATTATGTAGTGTGGAGGTAGCCCAATAGGGTACTAGAACTTTCTCTTGTGTTCATTCAATACATGATGCAGCAGTTTCCAGTTACAATAAACAATTATTTTGCTCTGATATTATAATCATTTACTTATAATTGTTTACATTACAATCATACACACACACAAAATTTCCTTCAATTCCACTAACTCCTTTGTAATGCATGAGTTTTTGTTTTTCAAATGACTACATAAAAGTGATGTAGCAGTTTCCAGTCATGTGATAGAGCTAAGTCTCTGGGTTCTGTGATCACAACTCTTCCCCAGATCTTCTGGAATAAAGTTGTATTCACTGATGAAAGTAAGTTGAATGTGTTCCAGTTTGATGAGTGTCTAGTATTCTGTAAACCAAATTGGAGCTAAATAAAAAAAAACATACAAAAGTGAAACACAGTAGAGGATCAGTGCTTGTTTTCAGTATGAGTGTGCAATAATGTTTGAGTGCAATTATAGATTCTAAATAGTTACTAACAAAATATTAATGTGCAGTTTTGTTATCATTCTAAACATTAATAACAAAAAAACTAACAGGTGAAATGAAATGCAGTTTGCTGCAAAAGAATGAAGAAATCTAAGAGTTTTTTCTGGTATCAATTGCCTGAGGTAGATGGCACTAGTTGCTTGCTAGTTGTGTCGGGATCACCCGACATAACTCCACTGGATTTCTTTTTTTGGGGTTATGTTAAACACATGTTTATCAAACACCTGTTTCTGATATATCCGCTTTAAAGGAAATGATACAATTAGCAATCCTCACTGTTACACTGCAAATGTTAAAAAACACTTGGAGAGAAATCGAGTACAGACATAACTCGTGCTACTAATGGAGCTTGTACAGCTACATTGAAGATACTGTAAAAAACTCTTAGATTTCTTCATTCTTTTGCAGTAAACTGTATTTCCTTTCACCTGTTAGTATTTTTGTTATTAATGTTTCGAATGATAAAGATCTTTCTCGGACACACTGTATTTTCTGTTATAATTGTGTATGAATACTTTTGTGGGTCAAAATGTCCAGTTGTTTCTTGTAATGTTCTTGTTATTTTTGTGTCTTTTCCAATAAAATTTTCTCATAAGAGTGTGACAGTACAATATATTATGGTGTTATTTATATTTCTTTGCTTAAAGTGTATATTTAATTTTCTGCAACTCGGGTGTACAATACTGTAGTTTACTTAATAGCATGATAATAATGAATAATAAAATACATTGCTATCTTCATATTAATATTACAAGTGAATAAAATGCTATAATTGATAAACATTACATAAATTAAAAATTTATAAATTTATTCATAGAGATGACTATTTCTTTTCTGATAGTTTCTGGAAGAAGTTTTCATCAAACTGTGACTTCTCTTCAAGAAGCTGAAACAGCTGCTGAAGATGACATGGTAAAAATGTCTTTTACTCAAATATTAATTATATTATTTATAGATAAATAACATATAAAATCGGAGATGAAATTTTGATTTAAATATGAAATTTTAGTTGTCCCTTATCACACATTTTAATGTTAATTATAAGGATTAGGGAAATGTATGTGTAAAGTTAATATTTTCTTTTTTGAATTGCAGCCTGTAAACATAGAAAATCCTTATAAGAAGGAGCCTAGAGAATGTGTTTTATGTAAATATAAAATTAGAGTAGATTATAAGGTAAAATACAAAAATACTATTATTTATTTGTGATTATTTTAATTTATTAATATATCATTTATTATTATGAATATAATTTGGTTTATTTTTAGAACACCAAGCTTTTAAGCCAGTTTGTTTCTTCATATACTGGTCGAATTTATGATAAACATATTACAGGACTTTGTCAGCAGCAACAATATATTGTAAGAAATGCAATTAGGAAAGCTCAAGCATTTGGTATTTATTTATTCACTCTATATTATTAGCATAATATATCACACATATTATTATTGAGTACATTATTATTTATAATGTGAAAACGATATTGGTGTATTCAGTATTTCCATTTTTGAATATTTTTGAAAATGATCAGTCATGCAGTTAACTTTTTGTTAATTAGTAGCCAAATTGAGATTCTAATTAGAACAATAAAAAATAAAAATAGAGCCATATGAGATGACATTTATTTATACATTAATAATTATGAAATTGAAAAAAACTCACTCAGAAAATTGTTTTCTGAGTACTTATGTAGTTACAATATACAGTACAGTCCTGCTAGTCCAAACACCGCTAATCTGAATGTCTGCCTAATTTGAACATGTTTTAGTCTTGCAGGGAGGAAATTTTTCCTAACAAGAGGTTCACTTGGGGTGTTTCCCTTTCTCTTTCCTAAGTGAACCACGTGAATAAGTCTTCATCAAGCTTGCCAAATGTTGAGGGCCTTGCTATTTGTTGATTTTCAACTGTTTTTCTGAAGAAGAGGCACAAAACTGCTTGATCTATGTATGGTTTTTTTCCAGTCAGTTATTGTGGCCTTGCCCACTCTAAACTCTGATGCTAATTTCATTGCACTTTCACCCTTGTCCAGTTTTTTCATAATGTACAGCTTATCTTTCAACGTACACGTTGTGTGTTTCTGTTTTGTGGCCATTGTAGCAGCAGACTAAACTAAACTAAAATAATGTAGAGCGAAGAGTTTTAAGTGCACATGTACAATTAAGTGTGCTAACTCACACAGTAGCATAAGTCAACTGATTGGAATCCTAGACTGTGTATTAAAAACAATATTTTTTACAGTTAAAATAATTTTAAGGTAAACAATGAAGGCAGGTTGCTACTTCAAAATTACAAAACTTATTTTTGTTAATTGTTTGCACCCTCTATTGAGTACAAGTCAGATGAAATAATGAGTGGGGTGCTGATGTCATTGATTGTGTTGGATCTATATAAACCAGACCTGTTTTACTGCTTGCTTCTGCATTATTTCAGTTATTCGGCTAATCTGAAAATCTGCTAATCTAAACAGGGCTTGGTCCCAATTAGTTCGAACTAGCAGGACTCTACTGTAACTTAAAAAATATGATCACTTGTGTCTTTCAATATCCTCTTAGTTTATATACTATGTTAGTGCAAAGATACAATTACATGGCCTCAAAAATTTTATTGTAACAAAGTCATATATCAATTTTAATTTGATATTATAAATAACATAATTTTATTGCATGACCATTTGAGCACTCTTTAGCACTTTGTAATTATATTGCTTTGTACCCTTTTAAATTCAGTAACATGGACATACAGTAGTACCTCAGGATACAAAATTTTCAGGATGCGACATGAAATTCGAACATATTTTTGCTCCACGGTACAAACAAAAACTCACCATATGACATTACATTAGTTTGCAGTGCCACCACCATGATCACATGTTCCTTCTGTTCATCAGTCTCAGTCTGCATGTTTGCTTTGTCGTGGAAGGATCTTGCTCGATAAAGGAAATCTTGAGGTATTATCAGAAAGTGACTGATTTTATTGAAAAGAAACATCCCAAAAAGGTTCACACTGGCCGTATTGCTGCTCAGTTTAATGACATTTGCCTAAGTCATTTTAGANTATACAGTACCTAATTTATATATAATTAATATATAATTATATGTACAGTACCTAATTTATATATAATTATATATACAGACGAAACTAAACTCAATTTACCCACCTAAACGTCTGTAGCGTGGCGCTACGGATGGCTGGAAAGTAGTTCGGCTGCCTGATGACGTTTTACGTAATTATAGGAGTTTTTTTACCGTTGTGTACAGATACCGCCACAATTTTTTCGCCGTCTTATAGGAATCGTAACTATAGGAAACAGTTTTATAGGGTGATCTACTGTATTTAGTTTAATTTTGATAAGTCTTGTAAACTGGTGTTTTGAATAAATGCTAACAGTTCTAGCCTATTCCACCAGAAATAATTTTTATTAAACATTTTTGGGGCATTTGGCAACATCCTCAGGATCAACCCATTAATGAAATAAAAAAATAATACAAAAAAACTACCTCAAGTAAATAAAAGTAAAAAGAATATATCAAATAAAAATGAAGCAAAAATACACTATAAAAGAGCATAACACAGTAATAAACTAAAATAAGACATAATGTCAGTAGTCCTTTTACTGGTTTAAAATGTACTTTCATCTGTGGACAGGCAATCCTGTGTTTATGGTTAATGCATAAATTTTTCATAGTTGTATATTGTTATCTTTTCCAATGGTTTTTCTGGTGGCTTGACTCCTGACCATCGTGGGAGTTCTGTGTTATCAAATACATACTTTTGATTCATCTGTAAACATAACTCATTGTCAATTATTAATAGTCCTATCTTTATGATTTTTGGTCATTTCATACAATCTTTCTTTTGATTTTTTTCTTACAGGACTTTGTTTTAGCTTTAGTTTTAGTGGTAAGTTTTTTTGCTAGCCTCTTCCTTAATGTTGTGTCTAATACATTAATATCTTTAATTAATCATTGATCTCATTAACACCTTTTGAAAATGTTTGGAATGTTCTGAAGAAAGTAGTTTCTGAAAAATAGATACAACCATAGAAGAATTAAAGACAACACTAAAACAATTATGATCAGAGGTTGATCTAGAACTATGTAAAAAACTGATTTCTACAATACTTTAAAGTAATTACAATTGTAATTACGTGTAGAGCAAAAGGTGACCTTACAAAATATTAACATCAATATTTCATACTTTTGTTTAATGTTTTTCATGATTCCATACTTTTGTTAAACTTTTACTTTGTTTAAAATTCTGTAACTTTGTAATTAATGCAAATATCTTTATGCTGTTTAGTGTGTAAATACTTTTAACAATTGGCAAATATAATAGATATATTAAAGTTCAATAATATATTTTTGTGAATTTGATTATCTCAGGATCAAAAGCATTTTTCCACAACAATTTCAAAATATTCCATATTTTTGTTCAGGGAGTGCATATTCTTTGTTTCTGAAGGAAAATGTATTTTTTAAAATAAATTCTTTTAAGTATAGATTTAATGTTTGTGTCATGAAAATTGTTAATGTTCAAATGGTGTCATGGAGAAAAGTTTGGTAACCACTGCTGTGTCATTAAATGAGGAAAAAGTTATGGCAATAAAAGATGGCAATACATAAATAATTTTGCCTAAAAGTAGATGTATTTATTGTATAAATTATGTTAATATAAAAATAATTTTATATTATTCATTTGGCTAATAATTTTCAGTTTAATTAGTTTATGTATTAAGAATTAAAATTTTTTCAGATATATAATGGATCATAAACAGAAAATGAATAAACAAAAGAAGAAAGTTGTTCTTGTTTTCAATGAAGAAGAAAGACGGGATTATTTAACAGGATTTCATAGAAGAAAAGAAGAAAGGAGGAGAAAAGCAAAAAAAGAACTTGAGGAAAGACAAAAGGAAGAAAAAAAAAAGTTAAAAGAAGAAAGAAAAAATCTACTAAAGGAAATTTATTTGTCTCAGAGAACTGTTCCAGAAGTAGAACATTTAGTTGAACCAGTTACATACGAATTAAATGATCATACAGTTACCGTTACCTCTATTGAAGAAATTGATTTTGTTGGTCAAGATGGCACAAGATTAGGTCAGAATACTTTTACTCATAACAGTGATATGGAATCATGTGAAGAAGATAAAGTAAAGAAAATAAAAAATATAAAAGATTTGACAAAAAAGTTAAAAAAGAAGGAACAGCAAAAGCAGAAATCAAAGAAGCATTTTAAGAAACCTCAAAGAAAACATAATTTCAAAAAGAAAGGAAAAGTGAAATCAAGTAAACTTCAAAAAACAAAAAATTTATAATAGTTTTATAAATTGAAACAAGAGATTTTATATTAAATTTTGTTAAATAAGTACGAGTATTATAAAGAGACATTTATTGTAATAAAGTGCATATTTCAAATAAAAAAAAGTTTATTAATTAATGTTTATGGACATTGAAATGTTGGAGTTGGTGATTTATGCAAATGTTGATTATTGAAATGATTAAATGCCAGAAAATATTTTGATTTTTGGGAAAGATTTAATTGTTGTAAAGTAAACAGTGAAGTTATTCATACTGTATTAGATAATTTTAAATTTATACAATAGCAGCAATCTTCCACAAATAAAAATAACTATAACAATATTANCCCAACGTAAACAATTTAAGCACCATAACCAGTCTTCTCCAGGCTTAGATCGGGATAAAAGATCATTGCAGTAAATGCATGTACAGTCCTCTTCATCATCTTGAGAGTTATCAGGAAAATTTTCTTTTTCACTGTCTTCTTCAAGTAACTTTTTAGTAATGTTTCATCTCCTTTTCTCTGGCGGAGCTTTAAGCCCATTTTTTGATTTAATTGCCTTCATATTAGGAGTATGTCCTACGTCATTATGTCTGTTACCTATGTATGTTGTTTTGTCCATATAATGTTATAAAAAAACAAAATTATAAAATAAATACAAAGATGATATTTTTAATGGAAAAAGTTATTTAAGTGCAACAACAAATTCTTGAGGGTTGAAATAAANATACAAAGATGATATTTTTAATGGAAAAAGTTATTTAAGTGCAACAACAAATTCTTGAGGGTCGAAATAAATGCTACACAAATAGATAAAATAGTGAAAAATTTACCTTCTATACAAAAAACTTGTTGCAAGGAAAAAAACTGTAACGTATGAACGCTTGTCGTCGGCCATGACACCCGGGCAAATGAGAGGAGTGCGTTCATGTTTTGACAGATTAGTAAAAGCCGCTTGGATAATGTGGTGTTGTGGTCAGTTGCGTGCTTGAGACTGCCAAATTCGAATTATGATGCCTATGTCATTTTGTATGTATTTCCCCTACTTTTCTTTCTTCTGTGGTTTCATTTCTCCGCGCCATCTTTTGCCTTTGAGATATGATTTGAGACCACAAAAGTTCTTTCTTATGCTTTGGCATTGTTTTTTTGTATTTTTACTTTTCACCCTTCACTTTTCACTTTCTACTTTTTTTCTGTTATTTGTACACTTTTAACTTATGAAAAATCAACTGAAGCATGTGCATCACACGTCTCCAAAAGTTATCCCCACTACTCACACATAACGGTCCTCGACTATTCGAAAACATTTAAGATTAAGATTAAAATTACATTATAGCCAATCTTACTCATTTTCACAGAATGCAAGAATTAGGTCCCCCATTTCCAGACTAATTAGAGAATTTTTACATAAGTCTAAAAATTTGTTCTATTTCTCGCAAAAATGCAAAAAAACCGCATCTGTGCCCATCTTACACATCACTTTCTTTTAACACTTCAATTGTTACTTAATTACTTCCATTGTTAACACTTCCCTGCAGGGAAGTGTTAACAACCTCTCCCTGTGGGGGGAATTTTGAAAAATCCCTTCTTAGTGTACATTCTCGTGACATACCCTATTAAAACATAATAAAAAATGCAAAAAACCGCATCTAAAATAGTATAATAGAAGCAGAGTTCTTCATGGGAAGCCTTAATGCTGTCCCTCTCTCCCATGGGGAAATTTCGAAAAATCCCTTCTTAGTGTACGTTCTCACAATGCACCCTAACTGTATACCAAAGTTCAACCATCAACTCCTAACCGTTTGGGCTCTGCGCTTATTATTATACGGAGTGGCTATTTCAAAGGGCAATTTTGGCAACTAAAAAGAATATTGTTGATGATATCAACTTTAATATTCAAAAGAAAATTCCCGGTAATATTCAGAACTGGCAAGAGCTCCTCCTCTTTTAAGTTTGGGCATTGTATAAAATATAAATCAAATCATCTTTTTATTAACAAATACACTAAGTACACTTTACACAGTTTTCACACTTTATTTTTGATTTATATTGTCACTGTATCACTTTGACTACTCACACTTCACTGTTTGTTTTTATTCACTCGCTGCACTACTTTGGAATTTTCACTTCTTTTTCGGTTCTTCCCTTCGTCACTGATAAGAAACTGACGTTCGAACCCATGACGGATCTTGCTTTATATACCCTCACCAATGGATAGTTCCACCCATACAAAAAAGGCTTCAAATGGTCCACAATGTTCCAGAACATTCCACAACATTCGAGAGTGTTCTGGAACATTCCACAATGATCTGGGATGTTCCGGGATGTTCCCGAACGTTCCAGAACATCCTGGAACATTCTGGAATGTTGTGGAATGCTCTCGAATACTCTCGAATGTTCTGGACTGTTCTAGAAATTTCTAGAGGACAAAACTTCCAGCCCTTATATCTTCAACAGCACGTCCTTCAGGTAAAAATGGGAATCTTCTTCTTGGATGGGGGATAGAGAGCTACTACACTATATAACTCCCTTGATCATACTGGGACTCGTTTTTTGAGTTTTAGCATCATGCACATTGTACACTTACCTTTATTATATATATTGATATTGATTATTCTATTATGGTTATTTATATATTTACAACTACAAAATGCATTTTCAGTGTTTTCCTTAGTAAAGTTATTCTTTTCAATGTACTACTTAGCTTTAATTTGAGTGTTTTTCATGTTGGAATGGATTATTTGGTTTTACATGTAATCATATGGGGAAAAATGATTCACCTCACGACATTTTCATGATACGATCTCAGTTTAAGAACGGATTAATTTCGTATTCTGAGGTATTACTGTATTGTATAATAAATATTTTGTATGTATATAATGTAATAGAACTTTTATTTTCATTAATTCATCTAAAAACAGCAACATTTTATTCAAAATTAATGTTTTCAGCCTACTTGATATACCATCTTCAGGAAATCAAACTGAACCAAATAGAACACAGAACTGATAACATATGAAATAAATTGAAAAACTAAAAACTAGTAAACATTAAAATAGAACAGATTGACATCTGCTAACAATAATATTAGTAAAAAATTTTAACACAAACTTATACAAACAACAATAAATGTAAACAACAAGAATATAGTAGTGTGTTTGGTCTCAGTCTGTTCTTCATTGTATTTCCATGCTAAAGAAAGTGATCCCACATCACAATAGTTGAGGCATTTGCCTTTTAATTTTTGTTTTGTAAATTATTTTTTTCTGCCATAAGGCAGAAAAAAATAATTTACAAACAAATTCATAAATTTCTCCTTTTCTGCCATAAGGCAGAAAAAAGAGATTTATGAATAGAAATTGAAAGGCAAATGCAAGTAATTCTTATTTGTTGTTATTGTAGAAAATATATTACAAGTTTCTATGATAGCTTTACCATTTATGACAATGGTAAAATTTTGATTAAAAAGTATATTGAAATTTTAACATTAACAAAATAAAAGTAAAAAGCATAAAAACAGTTTATATTCATGTTTTTTAAAAATCTTAATATCATAATAACATGAATGAAAGGAAGCAATGCCAATAGTTTAAAAGAAAAATATATGTAATTATTGTGTAATAAAAATAATGAAGTGATGACAATAAGCAAATTCTACTCTATATCTAAATTGGAATTAAAAAGATTAAAGCAAAAAAATGTTAACCAAATAAAAGTAATGATCAGATGCTAGATATTAAAATTTATAATTTTTCTTTTAATTATAAGTCTTTATTATGTATGTACATGCATTAATTTTTTTTATTATATTTTAGGATTTATGCCTTTTTATTTGAAAGAACCACGCTTTCTTAAAGATCCAGAATTATTTGATCCATTTAAACCAGGAAGACCACATCCACATTAAGTGTATAGTTTAAAATAAAGCTTAAGTCAAGTTTGTATTAAGTATTTTTTTAATTAAGAATAGAATAAATATTAAAAAAAAAATCAATGCAAATTATAGGTAATAATAATGAAATAATGAAATGAAATATTTCTTCAATATAAACATTCTATATATCTTGTTAAATGAATAAAAATTAATTATTAATAATGAAATAAATAATACATAAAAGTTTTATTGCTTTAATGATTTCTTAAAACAATATAAATATAAAAAAATATAATATAAAAATTAACAAAATTAAGATTTATGTAATGACATAAATATTAAAATATTAACATCACTTTTTTTAAAAGAATGTTTTTGTTACAAATAAAATCTCCTATTGCCCCTTTAGTTTTGTCCCTGTCAGTATATATAAAAGGCTGCAAAGTTAAAATCTAGAAAAGTTCATAAAATATAATAGAACATACATATGAAAACATAACTTTTTTTAAGTCTGAAAGTATAGAATTACATTTAGTAGATCCTTACACTTAAATATTTCCTTTCATTTTCAACAAACGAAAAGAATTTTTAAAAAGCACATGTACTGAATTATTAATATAATGTATTTGTGGACATATTAAATGTGAATTAAATGTTCTTTCCTGCAAAATTTTGATTGTTTTTCAAATACTGTTTTCTTTAACAAAGAAAATATATGCAAATAATTTCATAGAATCTTTTGAATTTATTAGTTTCTTTATACTTTTAAGAGAAATTATCTGCAAATGATCATTGTTTTAGAATTCTATTAGTAACAATGTCAATAATAATTTTGAAAATATTAAAACAATACTAAATAATTTTATATGATCATCATAATTACAGTTTGTAGGGCATAGTGGTGATAAATTTAAATGAAAGAATTCTAGTTATAATGTACAATATAATAAAGCAGCTTTGATAATTAGTTAAAGATTTCATTTATAAATACATTTTTTTTTAAACAAACAAATGAAAAATGTAAAGCAATAGGAAAATATGTAATGTTGAAATATATTTTAAAAGGAGCAATTATTTATTGTGACATAATCACAATTCCAGGCTGCAATTTTTAATCATTTTTAATTTATTTAATTTAAAATATATGCTCTCCACCTCAAATCAGTAGTGTCTTGCTCCTGTACATAATACTTTTCTGTTATCAATGGAGTCATGCCTGTCATCTATCCAGCTCCTTTCAGGGGAAATTTTTGAATTGAAATAACTTAATCCATACATCTGGTTTGCATCAGAAGTTCATATATAGTTAATCAGGGCCTGCTGCTCCTAAGTTTCCATATCTACTTTTGAATTTCATATATCTACAGCATTCTCAAGATTAAGGAGACATAGATGGCAGTGGGAATTTATTGGTCTACAATTTTTTCAAATTGCAGCCTAATAATACATATATTTTGAAAATTATCATATTGATATAGAATCAAATTAAAATTTTTTATGAACTATAACTTCCTTAAAATTCTTTTATATAAAAAATATATAAGTAATTGTGAAATTCTATTTGATGCCATCTTAAAAAAATGAACAAAAGGTGGAAAGCTATAGCTTAAGCTGATAGGAAATACACAGCTGTAATATTAATTACTTAAAATGCTGAGATTCCACTCAAAATTAATCATAATTGATAGATTTAAGATATTGGGTATCCTTTTACCCAAAACTGGGATCTTTTTGTATAAACAGTACAGTACATAGCTTGGAATATTTTTATGCCAAATATTATGTTGTTTTTTAAGCCAATAATAAAATGATTTTTTTCCACTAAATCACCTTTTATTTTTAATACATTTATTAGTATATAATAAAATAAAAATTGAAATGAATTTTTTTAAACTTTCAATTAACAAATCACACTTTTTTTCTTAAATTTACAAGGAAACAAAACAGCATTTTTGGGCCTTCAGAATTATGATTCCTTTTCAGTTGCAAAGTGTATATACATTGTACATAAATGCTACTTATTTATATACAATGTATATACATGCTCTTATATATAAGTAAATAAACTATATAAAGTTGTAATTTTCTGTGGAGTTTTTATGCGAAATTTTTAAATATAAATCTTATTATTCATGCATTATTATATTAGTACTGTAATCAATATTTAAAATTAAAATTCACATATATATATTTTTAAATGTAATTGAAAATGAAGACATTGCAAAGAATCAAGCTAATTTGAATCACTAAAGTTTTCAGATTTTTTAAAAATGTATTTTAATTATGTAATTTAATTTTAAAACAAAAATACACTACTGGTCAAAAGATTTTAGAATACATATCATGAACAATTTATTTTTTGAAAATGATTTTTTGGGTTGTGGGTTATCTTAATAATATAAATAAGTGCACAGAATTTCAAAGTAAGATGTGTTGGAATTTGATATTTATTCCTTTATATACAGAAATCAAGTGATCAAAAGTTTTTAGATCAGTTTTATTTCTCTAAAGATAGAAAATTATGCATACTAAGTTAACAATTAAGCACTGCCTTTTTTCTATGCAATATTTAACAACCTAGTCATTTTGTGGTATTTTCTGGTCATAATTACAGATTACGAATGCTTTATTCGTAATTACTATTAGTTAAAAATGAAAATAAGTTACATTTTTAGATAGACACATTACTCATGAATGATTTCTCCATTAAAAAATATGACATTGTTTAGAACGGAATGCTCTAACTCGTAATATTATAAGGTGGAATTATGAATGAAATAAAATATAAGGCAATTTAAAAGTTGATATTTTCTCACTAAAAATGCTTCTGGAAATTATTTTTTGCTACGAACTTCTATAATTCCAAAGTTGTCAGATCTGTAAACGAGAAATCGTAATAGTGAAAGTTCCATTAACAGACACTTCCAAATAGTGGACATGATGGTCAACGTGGCAGCCTACCGCTCTAGGGAATCCGAAATCGAATCCGAACGGGTCGAAAAATTCCCAGAAATTTTCGGGGATGATCCGATCGGATATGTTGGCCCCGTCCCTTACCACCCGGCCGTCGTATTGTGGGACTAGAACTTATAATGGGCTTGCTGAACGAGGCCAACAGGGCGGAAAGAATTAAAAAATAAATAAAAAGCTTACAGAACCAAGACACCATAAACTTTTCCCGAAGTATTCATTTATTCAACAAGAATCGTAATACAGTAGTAACGAAAAATAAACTTAAAACGGTTACTGTAACAGCATTTATGTGGTGAAAGTTCGAAGGTCGTATTACGGTATTCTGGCATTTATGACGTCATTTATGATCTTAACAGTTTTGTGGTGGCTTAGGTGTAAGTTTTTTTTATAAATCATTTATTGAAAAAGGTGTTCGAAAAATTACACCTATTTGATAACTAAATCCCTACATTGATTTTTATTAGTCGGTTAGTTCATAAGTGATATAAATGAAAGAATATCGAACCCTTTGAAATACTACAAGGCTAGCAAATTGCCTTAGTAACTCGACATTCGAATTCTGCCTAAACCGACCTTCGTCCATCCTCTGTTCATAATAACTTTCATTTTTCTTTGTCGTTCTTCTGTCCACGTCGTTATTTGATGAATTAATAATTAATTAACGGGCGGTGCGAACGGTGCGACCGCACCGGGCGCCGAAAATGCAATGATAGATCGTCTGCGAAAAAATAAAACCCGATCACCTTATTACTACTTAACCCTATCCGCCAAAATAAATACCAAGATTAAAGAAACCAATATTTATACATTTATTTCCTTATTCCCTTTTGTTCTCCGTCTTTCTAGAACTTCCTTTTGATTTCCTTTCTTCCCTTTGGGTGGGGCCACCAATCCCAAGAACGGAAGACAATGGACTACCAGTTCCAAGAACATATGACAATGGGAGAGTTAAGGCCAGAGGGCCGATAAGACAAAAAGAACGGGTTAGTCTTGACTGGAACTACGTGGGAGTAAGACGTGAAGAGAAGAGCGCTCCAGATCGCGAGTAGACGACTAGGGGCCATTTGAGACTGAATAATTCCGAAGGAAGGATATTTTGGTTACGTTAGAAAAATAGAAAACTCCAGAGTCAACGTTGGACTGAAGTCCCGATTATAAAGAAAGGGAAGAAAAATTACGTCTGGTGTATGCAGAATCCGAGGTGGTGCTCATCCAGTGTTCACGAAATAAAGAGAATCCCGGGTATTTTGATCTTACCCTTTTTCTATCTACTTTCTCATATAATCTTCTTCCCTCTTTGGTTACAGTATAAGTTAGTGAGTAAGAATTAGTTCTAAGTTTCTGTACACGTACTATTGTCGCGAAATTATTGTATTGTATATTAAATGTCCGAGAAAGTGATATTCAAGCACATAGAAGGACTATCGCTGAAAAAAGTTTGTGAAACTCATTAGGAGAGTAGAGTTTCTAGCCTCGCTGCAGTTCGTGACGCCCTTCTGGATCTTCAGGAAGAAACGAATGACCCAGTTGCAGCATCAGAGGCCTTGTCCCTAATTCAGATCCTGGAGCAATTTGATTTTATAGTAACAATAGTGGCTTGGTATGATATATTGTTTCAAGTAAACATTGTAAGATTTACCAAACGCTACACAATTGCTGAAGAACTGCTGCGAATTTGTAAAAGAGTACCGGCGTTATACGTCTGCTGTAATAACAACTAGGGAAATTGCTTTTCAGGCTGGGATAGATCTTATTTTTAAGTCAGTCCGATTTCGAAGAAAGAAGAGATTATTTAAATACGAGGTCGTAAGTGAGACACCGACAGATCATGAAGGATTGTTTAAAATAAACGTCTTTTGCCCTATGATCGATACAATTGAGAATGCATTGGTCACTCGATTTACACAACTATCCAAATTTAATGATACATGGTCCTTTTTATACAACATCGAAACAATTCATGAAAAGTCAAAATTGGAAAAAGCCTGTGCAAATTTAGAAATAAGTTTAATGGAGAAAAATGTGACCTATCTGGTTGTGAATTGGTTGAGGAACTTTTACACCCGAATCCATTGTTGAAAGAGCTTAAATCAGA